GGAATCGTCTAAAAGAATCTACATATTCTTAAATTAGCTAAAGCATATCACACAAACTGAAACGAACGATTCAAACAGGCATACCAATTAGTGGAACAACAATCTGCAATTTTGTAGACAATTTATTTCACCAGCCCAGCTGACTAAACAAAACAGAAAGAAGGCACAATCAATCTGAAAGAAAGGCCATCCTGATCTCAGAACTCAGATTATTCAACCTTTTACCCAGTAATATATAACATAACCTGGAATTTTGAGAAGGAATTTCTAGAGAACTCCCTAATACCTAGAAACAATAGGTAATGCAAGCAACAAAAATAGAATTCAAGGGAAAACGGCCAGCTCAAAATCACTGGAATCCTTTTACACTATTTATCTCAAAAGCACAGCCTCTTTGAAAAGGGAAAACAAAAACAATGGGTTTGGTCAGATCCTAAACTGAACTTCTGCTCTCAGCCTCATCAGTCAGCCACCCATAACTCCAGTTTATCTACATCAAACCTGTACTCTCTCCATGTAATGTTTTGTTTATATCACTGTTTCTCTATACCGTGCAATATTATATACTGAATATACCACCTCTTGTTAAGGGTTTTTGGCTGTTTAAAAAACTCCAATCACTTGGTTCTCCTCAGCATCTTCTGAATTATATGAGAAAACGTCTACTGGTGCAGTGATAGAGCCAAGAGTGCCTTTGGAATGAAATGATTCTTTCTGGTGATCAAGATAGATCACAATAACTGTTATATCATCGTGGAAATGGCGCCTAATCCCCTTTTCTATCTTCTGTATGTCCTTGTACCTCATTTCCCTCTTCTTAGCTGCCTCCTGAATCGCTGCTCGTACCAATCTCTTAGCTATTCCCTGCCAATTACTCCAACCAAAAAATAAACAGGATGAGTCATACAACTATCTTGACTCCGAAATCTACCAAGCAAGCAACTTGCCTCAAGTCGATCTGCAATAGACCAATACTACAACAAACCCAGTTTAATTCCACAAGTGGGGTCTGGGGAGAGTAGTATGTACGCAGACCATACCCCTACCTTGTGGAGGTCGAGAGGATGTTTCCAATAGAGTCGCGGCTCATGAAAAACATAGTCGATCTGCAATATGCTTAAATGCACATCTTTCCATTTACTTCGCTAAGGAAACGAGAATGAAAGAATGATTAACTTACAGCTCTTGAGCTTTTAAAGACTATTTCCACAGCTACTTGATCAGTTAAGTGTTCCCAGAGGCCATCAGAAGCAAATATCAGGAATAAGTCATGAGGCCTAATACTTCGTGTAACAATGGAAGGCTCTGTTGTTAGTACAGGCCGCTTCAGAGGTACAAGATTTCCATATCGTTGGAATATAGGGTCCCTGTTAAATTCAGGTTTCTTCAAATAGGCATCTCCAATAGATCTTGACACCTGCAAATTACAAGACTTTTAAGTCGGTATGTTCCTAACATCTCCATAAAGAGAGAAAGGGGACAAAAAAGCTACAAACAGAATGCAGGCATTCCTTGTTACTTCTATCAGCAGAAAACAAACAAAATTCTAGTTCTAATAGTTAGAGAACCTTCACAAGAATCCAGAGCCTTCTATGATAAATGAAAAAGGATAACTATTCAATGAAATCACGACTCTTTGCTTTACAAAATCTTCATCCACATCTCATGTAGGGAACACGGCTTCCTTTAAGCTTGAACTGCATGAAACAGTGGACCAAGAGGCAAAGTGTGTGATTCCTGGAACAGTAGGGAAGATTGTAAAGCCTTAAGAACAAATTTGACAGCGGAAGTCATGATGCTTTAATAAAGCGGAAGATGATATACAAAGGTAAAGCAATATGGGAATAGGAGACATAATAAACACCAAATATAACAAACTCTTATACAGTTAGAACACATATAAATACTTAAGTCATTCATCAACAAGACAAATTGGTTGGCGAGGTAAGTAGAGAACAAGTAAGATAACCTGAATTATGCCTTTAATTCTCCAAACACCTCGAATGTAAACTACAACAGCCTGATCATCAGGATGAAGTGATTCAACTTCTTTGCGCACTTTCTCACATGAAACATTATGATCAGTCGACAACCTTTCTGCAACCACAGAATTCGTCTCCCCTTCAAAACCTCTGCGTCCAAGAACTGCCCTAGAATCCCCTAAATTAGCCACGTACAATTCACCCTCAGAAATTGCACCAACCAAACAACATGATCCAACTGAAGCAATCTGTGGCATTACAGGCAATGATCTCTTCACCAATTGAATAAAATCCTCTTCTGTAGCATTAAATGCCCTCTTTATCACATCAGACGACAAACCTCCTTGCTCTTTCGAAAACTCTACACAAAATTCAAAACAAACAGCTCAGAAGAGCAACAAAATTTAATCTTGTACAAAGGAGCAAACTTTAAGCTTTTTGAACATAATTTGCAGAGACAAAAAGTGACCCCACAAAAGTATATGACATGAAAAACTTAAAAATCGGGAAGAATAGGTACACCCTAAGAATCCAGACATAGCTTAATCTTGTATAAAGGAGAAACCTTTAAGCCTTTTTAGCAGAAATTGTAGAAACAAGAACTGACCCACAAAAGCATAAGACATGAAAAACTTAAAACTCAGGCCAAAAAAAACAAAAGAAAACAATGTACACTCCAAGAATCCATAGACATAGCGTAATCCTGTAAAAAGGAGAAACCTTTAAGCTTTTTTAGCAGAAATTGCAGAAACAAGAACTGACCCACAAAAGCATAAGACATGAAAAACTTAAAATTCAGGCAAAAAAAAAAAAAAAAAAAAAAACGTGCACACCAAGAATGCACAGACATAGCTTAATCCTATATAAAGGAGCAACCCTTAAGCTTTTTGAGCAGAAATTGCAGAAACAAGAACTGACCCACAAAAGCATAAGACATGAAAAACTTAAAACTCAGGCCAAAAAAAGAAAAAGAAAAGAAAACAACGGATACTCCAAGAATTCACAGACATAACCTAATTTTGTATATAAAGGAGCAACCTTTAAGCTTTTTGAGCAGAAATTGCAGAAACAAGAACTGACCCACAAAAGTATATGACACAAAAAACTGTAAAAGTATGCCAATAAAAGAAAAGGAAACATACTATGCAAATAAGAGAAGAGGTGTCTATTGACAAAACGGGAGGCTTCAGGGCCACCATGGCCATCATAAACACCAACATAAGTAGCAGAAGGAGAAGTGAAAACTTGACTTTGGTCTTCAAGTGAAGAATTGGCTTGAGCTACAGCAATTGAGAAATCACCAGAAGCATGTGGCTTTAAGTCCATATGCCATAAAAGCCCATCTCCGTTTCTTCTCCCAAAACACCTCTCTAACGGTCGACAACACGATCTCATCATCATTTAGTCTAACAAAGCAAAACAAGTTTGATCAAAATTTTACAACCACACAATTGGGCATATATATAACCAGCTCTATGAATTAGAGAAAGTATCGGAAAAGTAGCGCGTTGAAACATAGAAAAGCAGGACTAAAGATACGCTACACCCACCCCTTCACGCGTTTCACTTTATACGAAATATACTCAACTAGTCTTCTACTAATGATAAAAGAACGCAATTTTGGATATGCAACTTTTCTAAAACATTTCTGTGACGGGCTGACTGAGGGCGGTTTAAGTAGGACTGACCCGGCAAGCTCATGAAAAAGTAGTGTATATATTAGCTTAGGCGAATCCTATGGGAGAAGAAGTAAAGACATAAAGAAGTTTACAAGGGTAAGTTCACATGGTACACGTGCTTTTGGGATTTGAGCTGACATAGCTCTAAAAAGATAATATTTTATGGGTCTAGGTTCAAAACGGACAATACGTGTCATGGACTTGGGTCTGACAATTTCATTACTATCAATTGTTGTAGTGAAACGGTAATTATCCTTCTGTTTATATAACTCAAAGTTTTGGATTCGAGCATTCAGAATGATATTAATAAGGAGCGCTTTACCTCAAGCACCGGCGGATTTAGACTTTTAATTCAGATATATATTGAATTCTTCAAAAATAATCGACACTAAAAGTGACACTAAGTTAGCAAGCAAACATATTTACCTAGTGCTTTTTATTTTGGTACTTAATAAAACCTTAAAAGAAAATTTACCCGCCGTTCTTTCTTTTATTTAAAAAAAAAAAAAAAATCTCTCTATATATATTTAAAACAAAACTATTTACCTTTACAATTTAATTATTTATTGAAGAAATTTTTCGATAACAAACATCGGTTTGATCCATTTAAAATATTAAAAATACTAATTCAACTTGCACTAGCACTAAACAAAAAATAACTGAAGAGAGCTAAGCTAAATTAATTTTATACAGAAAGTTCCAAAACAATGGAAAGATACTAAATTAAAGTAAATAATAAAAGAAGATAAGAAGAACGGTAGGCCGAATAAGTGCATGTCAACATTTTGAAAATGAGAGAGAAATAAAAAGTGCTTAAGTTCGGAATCAAACGCACGACCAATTACAAAAATTGAACCCGCTTGAACCATCAGA